AGGCAGTACAACAATCTGCAAACATCTTTAACCGCTGAAGGTTTGAAAAGCTCAATATCCAAAATAGACATCAGAAAAAGCAAAAATGAAAATCTGATTTTAATTTTAAACCGAGTCACCGGCAAATAACGACTCCTATTTAGAAGGAAATGTTTGGTTGTCCAAAAGTTTTGACGTATTTGAAAATACAGGACCTGTTTGTTTTGCTCTCATGCATTGTTTGTTATTTGTTATATTAGATTAAGTATTATTAACGCTGTTTATGTTACACTTAGTCTAGGGTAATTCGTTGTTCTTTTAGCGATGCAACTTTATATGCATGTAATTAGTCGAAGTCATTGGCAGTGTGTTAGTGTCGTAGGTCAGTGCAGAATAGTACAATAGTATTGTATTGACTATAATACGTTAGACTGGACTTAAGGATCCTGTACCTTGGCGGACACGTAGTCCTCGTCTACATTCGCTTGACTTCTTTGTATGAAACAACGCTTGCATCAAACATCACTGATAAATGTTAATGATTTCGACGACCGTGTATGATTGCTGCAAATGAAACACGTCAAATGTCGGTTGTCTTAGCGCGACTCAAAAATGAGTATGTGTTTTTGTGTTTTAATGATTTTCTTCTAATGAAAGAATAGGGCTATTGGCGAAACATTCATAAAGGCAACGCATTTTGGCATTACCTCACTCGTCGATTGGAAATTTAATAAAATTACGATTTGCTATCCAGAGGAGTTTAATGTTTACGTAACGTTAATTTTTGTTAATGTTCCTAATACCATGTCGAGATGTACTTGAAAGAGTACTGCATACTTTTAGTGATGAACAAAGTAATTGTCACAATGGGCACCTAAATATTATTATGTGCTTTAGCGTAGTAGTAAGCTGTTGACATTTACTTTACACAACACAACCGTCACTGTTTACATCACAATTTCTCTGTACGTTGCCAATTCATTTTTTACTCACCCTGCAATTCGCTATTGCATCTGATTAATACCCTCCAAAGCTCTCTACTTATTTCAGAAACACCCTGTATTTATTAAATTCTCTATGAAACAGTCAAATATGCTATCTTAAAATATCAATGTAGCCTTTGAACTCCTATTTGTTATTTTATACACACAATGAACAAATTTAACAAATGTCACATATATTTATAGTTAAACTAAAGACAATATGGATGAGAGACAATGTTGTTCTGAATGTGAAGATGAACAGGAAACCGAAGAAACAAGAGATAATTTGAAATCAGAAAATCATAGTTGCGATCTTAACAACCTTGACAATATACCTATTAGTTTTGAGAAAGAATCACAAGATTTAAGGGAAAAGTCTCAAATAAGTCATCACAATGAAGTACATAGAGACATGAGTCAAAGTCACCACAAAGCAGTTGATTTTCCGACAGTCACACCAGATTATGAGACAATTGAAGAACTTCAAATAAAAGAACAACCAAATTTAAATAATTTCTTGGCATTACAATCAGTAATCAAGGATAACAAATTGCCTACGGAATCACCCCATTTAAACAGTCAATCGGTTACCACAGAAAATGAAACTGTGAATGAGGAAAAGCAATTACTTAATAGATACATTGCCACTCCAAAAGATTTAACATTTCAACAGCAACTGAATGTGTACTGCAATCCAATATTGAATATGGTAACTTTTTATTTACTGTGATACGAAGGACATTCCAACACTTTGTACCGGTTCCATCATTTTAAGGGAGATTGGAGATAACTCTTCAATATATTTTAATTTAGTTCGCGAGTAAATCCGATTTTTAAAATGCTCCTATAAACCTAAACGATCAAGAAATAGGTACATCGGTAAAAAAATTATAGGACTGATTGCCGTAAGCGATTGTAAGCATTTCAAATTTTTCCTGCCCTAGCGTTTTCCTAGATTTAGTGGTGTACTTATGAGGTCTGTTCAAGAAATATCGCGAATTTTTTGTTTTTTCAGAAATTATTTATTCATGAATATCTATTTTGGCTCAGTCAAATTAACCCCACTAGATATTATACATTTATGCCAAAGTTTTCCAATCCTGGAAGTACTTCAAAAAATCATTTTTTGTGATCTTGTTCAGTTCCCTCATCGATGCCATCATTATCTCCTCAATCATAGCGTAGCGTCGTCCTTTAATGGCCCTCTTCAGTTTCGGGAACAAGAAAAGTTACAGGGTGCGGAACACCGTGCCTACGGAATTATTAGTGTGCTGTTTTTGGCCAAAAATTCGCGCACAAGCAACGATGTGTGGGCAAGGACATTATCATGGTGCAAAAGCCAATTTTTGTTTTTCAACAAATCCGGGCGTTTCTCTTGGATAGCTTTGCCCAAATTGGTGAAGGTGATATTACTTGACGCGGTTTTCTTTTGGTCTTGGCTCGTGCGGCAGCTTCCAATGGGATGATTGAGCTTTAGTTTCGACGTCATAACCATAAACCCACTTATGACCTTCTGGAGCAAATTTGAGTCGCCACGGAGAGAGTCCAACAGCTCCTTAGAAATCCGATGCTGTTTTTGGTCGAAATTGAGCAATTTTGATAAGAATTTTGCGGCCACCTTTCTCATCCCCAAACCATTGGTGAAAATCGAATGGCAGGAGCCAATCGATATGTTTAGATCCTAAGCAACTTCTCTAACGGTAATTCGACGATTGACCAATACTATTTTCTTTACTTCATCAGTGTTTTCGTTTGTTGTTGACGTGCTCGGGCGTCAGGCATGCTCTTCGTCGTTCATATCTTCTCAGCATTCTAAAAACATTTCATACCACCGATAAACGTTGCTTCGGTCCAAGATCCGCTATAAGCCACAGTCAACATTCGGAATGCGTCCGCGCAATTAATTTTGTTTTTCACACAAAATTTGATACAGACTCTTTGATCCATTTTTTGGAGTAGGCAGAAATCCAAGAAAAAAATTAACTGAACATTCAACATGGCCGAACTTGTCGATATAAGTGACAGACATGAGTACCAACATAACGACAAAGAAATCGAAAATCGAATATACGTAACCCGCGGAAATTATTTTTGAACAGACCTCATATAACTGTACGGTAAATATTTTTAAACTACTTCACGTCTATGTCACCGTATGTATAATTATACCACAAAACTATTTGTCGTTGTCAAATCATTATTAAAATCACTCGATTGTATGAACTCCGCTGTTTGGGCAACAGCTACATCCATACATATCCGAATTTGGTTGCTGAAGGATTATTCCCAATGACGACAAACAAACTGGTCACTGCTTTCATGGAGATAATATAGTTATAAAAATGGTAATTCCCACCGTATCGAATGAAACTAAATATTTAGGCCCCTAGAAGTTCCATTTTTGATTTTAAACTAACGACAACAAAATTATAATGATGCAGAATGTTTATCGACATAGGTACCTATACGTTTTATATACATGCTACACGATGTCCCGTAGCTGCTTCATGTAACAACAAAACAGTAATCGTACGTAGGGTTAGATTGCAAATATGTTATGGGATTGTTTGGTTTCCTTAAATTTATTTTTACTTATTCTCCCTTACTAGGTACTAATATATTTGTTATGAAATTCGCGATATTCAAACATATTTGACTTTTTAAAGACCTTGTGACAAGCTATAATTAATAATTTGTATATTTTAGGATGAAACTCCCTTTCAAGATAAAGCCACTCGGCATAAATTTATCCGTAAAGTACAGATAATTCACTTTTTTATTCTACTTGTTACTATAGGGGGTGTTGCCTTATTCGATTTTTTGTAAGAAATCGCAATTCGTTATAGTTACAATAATTTGAGCTACTTTTTTATTACAGACCAAATTTACACAAAGAAGCAAATACTAGTAGTACTATTATAGAAGGGGGGACCGTAATAGAGGCAGAAGCTTCGCACACTCATTCTATATATATATCTGTATTCTTAATTCCATTTTGGATAGCCCTGTAAGTATAGAGAATATCCTTACCTAAATATGCCAGAGTCGTGTTAGCATCCAGCTTCAGTTTTAAGTAAAATGAAAATGGCATTGACAGTATTGTATGAAAATAAATAAAAGTAAAACAAAAATACTGGTATATAAGGGATGAAGAAGAAGGGAAAGAGCGAATATAAAGATAGGAGACGAAAAATTAGAAGAAGTGGCCGATTTTAGGTATTTAGGAAGTCAAATAAATCAGAACGGAAGGACTAGTAGGGATATAAAGCAGAGGATAGTGCAGAGTAGAATCGCCTTTAATAAAAAAAAGTCACTTCTATGCCCGCGAACAGTCAATTTAGAAATTCGAAAAATATTGTTAAAGGTGAATGTTTGGAGCGCGGGGCTGTACGGGTGCGATACATGGACGGTGGAGCGGCGGAAAATAAAAGGTTAGAAAAGCGTTTCAAATGTGGCGTTACAGGCGAATGACGAGGATACCGTGGATGAAGAAAGTTAGAACTGAAAAGTATTAGAAAAAGTAAGAGAACAGAGGACTATGAAGGTCAATAAGAAATAGGAGAGATAGATTAGTAGGAAGTTAGGAGGAGTAGAGGTAGACCTAGATTAGATTACTGTTTGCAAATAGTTTACGATATGCGTTGTGCTAGTTTAAAGGAAATGCGAAGATTAGCTCAGGATAGGAAAATGTGGAAGTGTTACCAGTCTTGTAACTGACGACCTTATGATGATGTCTCAAGCTAGTTATTTCCTTAGTCCCTTTCAATTGACGAAAAATCGTGTTTTAACCGGTTTCCGCATTTTTTTCTATTTAATTGTTATTACATTCGAAAAAAATAATAAAACCAAGATTAGTACTTTAGCGAACACCGCTTTGTATCCAAATAAAAATAAAAATTTTACACGTTTATTAATTTAATTTTCTTGGATTTAAAATTACATAATTGTTCTACATTTCTAATTTATTTTCTTGCGAAACTGGCGCGTAGAAAGTACGGCTAATTTGCTCGAACCGGGGATGAATAAATATAATATCGACTTCAAGAGGAATTAAAATAAGTTCAGTCAACTTGTTTTGTGTGATAGAGGTGTCAGTCGTAATCTAGATTTCTATGTCTCTGACATATAAAATTTCCAAATACTTGCTCAATGCATTTCCTAATAAACCTAAATTGGAGTGGATAATAATTTTTATCTTTGTCGATATGTAAAAAGCAATAAATAATTTTAAAAAAATTAATTTGTTGCAGAGTGCTTATGATATTGTTAAGTATTGTGTTTGGGTGTGTTCCCTCCATTGCCCGAATATTCCCTTGTAATATTATCTACTTGGTTGTATTTGTAAGTACAATAACCATCTTTTAACAAATAATAGACGATAAACAATGTCGTATTACTGTGAAAAATATAGACCCTGCAGTTTGGTCTGCTTCCTTTTTATGTTCAGGGTCGTATTTAAATCCATAAAACAATATGAGTATTAATGAAAAAGGAACCAAGGTAGTGGCCAGAAACTTAGTATTCAGATATAATTAATACAAAAAACATTACATTATTTATGCAAATATATTTATTTATAAAAAACCTTGTGTGTACGGGTGCGAAACATGCACAGTGGGAGCGGCGGAAAAAAAAGGTTAGAAGTGTTCGAAATGTGGTGTTATAGGCGGATGATGAGGATATCGTGGGTAGAAAAGGTTACAAATGAGCAGGTATTGGAAAGAATAGGGGAACAGAGGACTCAACGGAAGACAATAAAAAATAGGCGAGACAGATTGGTAGGAGACATATTAGAGGCAGAAACAGGAGTTACGAGGGGTAGAGGTAGACCTAGATTAGATTACTCTCCGCAAATAGTTAAGGATGTGAGCTGTTCTAGTTTTAGGGAAATGCGAAGTTTAGCTCAGGATAGGAAAGAGTTGAGGTACGTGTCCAACCAGTCTTAGGACTGATGACCTTATGATGATGAT